ATAATTTTTTTTTTATTTCTGTCTGAGCCATCCACAATTTTTTTCTTCATCTATGTGTTGAATACCACTGGTTTAGAAGGTTGGAAAATGAGCAACTGCTAATTTAGAACATGAGATGGGAGAAGGGCAACGAAAATATTCTGAAGTTGATTGTAGTGATGACTGTACAACTCTGAATAACAAACCATTAAACTATCTTCACTAAATGTGTGATTACTTTAATAAAGTTGATACTTTTAAAATGGCTAATGTGAGGGTTAGGGATGTGACGTAGTAGTACAGTGGGTACCCACATGTATACGACAATCGGTTTGATCCTTACCACTGTCATCACCACAAAACAACAAGATCAATGTGGAAATAAATTCCTGTATCACTTGTCTTTAAGGCAACAACAAAAAGCAATATAGCTTAAAATGTAGGATTTATAAAATATTCTGTTAACCAAAACCAAACACTCTGGAAGTGGGATCATAAAACAGAGAGGTGTGAAGAAAATGCCTGGAAACCCATAACATTATAAACCAACAATAAATCAAAGAAAAAATTAAAATAAAGAAAATAGAGTAGGTTTTACTGACTGCTCAAATGCACTGGTTATGTAACCTTTTGAAGGTCACTTAATTTCAAAAGGCAATGTTCCTATTTTTTTGTTTTTTTTTTGTTTTTTGTTTTTTGTTTTTTTTTTTTTGCTTTTTGGGTCACACCCGGCAATGCACAGGGGTTCCTCCTGGCTCTGCACTCAGGAATTACCCCTGGAGGTGCTCAGGGGACCATATGGGGTGCTGGGAATAGAACCCGGGTGGGCCACATGCAAGGCAAACGCCCTCCCAGCTGTGCTATTGCTCCAGCCCCAGTGTTCCTATGTTTAATATATGTCAGTCCCCTTAATTCATCAATGCATTCTTAGGACAATTAATGGATAACGTAGCTCATATTTCTAAAGGGCTTGAATCTGTAAACATTGTGTAATCTGTAAGGTCAGTGAATTAAAAACGCTCACAAAGTCTGTTTGAGGGGATGCTGTGAAGTTATAAAATAAATGTAGAAACATTTGAATCTTTTCTTGTTTGTTTTGTTTTTTGGACCTCACCCAGCAGAGCTCAGGGCTTACTGCTGGCTTTGTGATCAGGGTTTACTCCTGACAGACTCCTGAGACCCTCTGGGATGCCAAGGATTGAATCCAGATCTACCTGCTGTACTAGCTCTCTGGCCCTCCAAACTTTTGATTCTTTAAAAATTCATATGCAAAATTTGTAAACTCTCTTAGTACTAAACATAAATTTTTAATCTTCCAGGAACCAGTTTGAAATAAGTCTTACAAAGGCACGATGACAGACAATAGGGAACAAAAGTAATCTAACAAATGAGCCAGCTCCAAGCCCTTTCCAGACCTTCTTCAAACATACTGCAATTAAGAAAGTAATTCTACCAAGCCAAGGTTTTAACACAAAATTATATCCTCCTCCTGTCTTCTTCCCCTAGTGAGAACTGAAATGATTGGAATACTTGAAGATTTAAATGCTGACCTAATTTCACCACCCCCTCCAAAAAAAAAACACCTTTATGTGAATAAACTATTTTCATTAAACAGTCAGCAGTCCTCCAATTATTTTACCTTTTTTAAAAAAATTATCATTATTTTTTTCATCTTTGATTTATCTATAAAAGCTACATCGTTTTAAGAAAAATAACATGAATTTGGCTAGATTTAGGGTGAGTATTTTAATTTTCACTAGGCTGGTATTTGAAAGTTCTATGTGCCTGTGTTATTTAACTCAGGACATAGAATATACAACACATACAAAATGTCCCAATCAGACAAGTGTAAACCTTAAAAAGCAACTTTATAAGATGTTAAGTTGTATGATGTCATAGGAATCTCAGAAACCGTTTAATTTGGATATGTGAAAATCACAGGAATAAATTAGTGCAAATAGCACACTCTTATTTCTGGAATCCAAACTGTTATTCTCTTCCTCGACTTTTCTTGGCACCTATTAGCTACACTGAGAACTGTGGTCACTTTATGTGCCATGTATTAGTTTGATTTCATCCCCACCTCATTATTTTATTCAAGCTTTGAAGTGTGTGGTGCAGGGCTTGAAACACAGGCTCGCTGTCTTTCTGCAGACAGCGCTCCGAACTCACTGACTGTCTGCAACTTCACGTCTGCTAACCAGCAGTTTCCTGGCCGTCTGCTGCTGCTGCCAACCTTCATGCAGCTCTCTGTTTGCGTCAGTCTGATGCTTCTTGGTCCCAGCTAGGTGTGGAATCAGTGTATGTCTCTGGCAATGGTCTCATTTCACTTGGCCTAAGTGCCAAGCAGTTGCATCCACGCAGTGGCACCAGAGGGGTTGTAAAAGTTGACTCTGGAGCAACCGAGTGGATGGTCACTGGACCACACCTGACTTCCAGCTGCCGGCTCCCCCTGCTGATGACCGCCTTGCAGTCAACACCAGGTCAGACCTGGAGAGGCCTCCCCCCAGCTGGGATAAGGACTTTGTTTGGATTCGAGGGAAGTCTGCTCTTTAAAAGTCAAAGTCTCCTGGTAGGCCCTGTGGGAAGCATCTGGCAGCCGCACGAGAGGGCATGCATATTACATAAGGGCTGCCCATACATTCAAGCCCATCTCCACTCCGCCATTCCCATAGCAACACACCCAGCCCTCACTCAGCTGATAGCAAGCAGCAGGCCCAAGCGGCTCAGGCGACATCTGAATTTTCTCAACATGAGCCACACAGGCCGTTGGCTTTTTTGTTTTGTTTTTAAATCTTCAGAGGGATAATACTTTCTCGAAGAAAACCAACCAGTCTGTGCAAATGTGGCCAGTGAGAAGTTACCAAGTTATATCACAAACTTGGAGAAGAATCTTTGAAATACCTGTGTTCCTTAACACACAACCAAGGCAAAACACCATGAACTAGCCAATCAGGTAACAAAAGATAAATAACTGCCAGTTCAGTGACTGCAGGAAATAAAAGAATCAAAATCATCACAATAAAAGCAAGGAAACACAGTCTGAGCTAAACTCCATTCTGAGATATGGTTTCCAGCCCCCATCCATATTGACATATTCTATTACTATGAGAAGGAGAAGAAAGTAGTCCCAGGAGAGGAGCTTTCTTTTGCAGGGAGCTCTCGAATGGTGCTCAGGAGGTCAGGGAGGGCAGCCTCTCACAGTGTCAATTATGATTATTTTTTATTATTATTATTATCTGGGGGCTGGAGCGATAGCACAGCAGTAGGGCGTTTGCCTTGCACGCAGCCAGCCTGGCCGAGCTGGGTTCGATTCCTCCGCCCCTCTTGGAGAGCCCGGCAAGCTACCGAGAGTATCTCGCCCGCACGGCAGAGCCTGACAAGCTACCCGTGATGTATTGGATATGCCAAACACAGTAACAACAAAGTCTCAAATGGAGACATTACTGGGCCTGCTCAAGCAAATCGATGAACAACAGGAGGACAGTGACAGTGATTATTATCTGGGGCTGGAGCGATAGCACAGTGGGTAGGGTGTTTGCCTTCCACGCAGCCAACATGGCCAACACGAGTTCGATTCCTCCACCCCTCTCGGAGAGCCTGGCAAGCTACTGAGAGTATCTCGCCCGCATGGCAAAGCCTGGCAAGCTCCCTGTGACGTATTTGATATGCCAAACACAGTAACAACAAAGTCTCAAAAAATGGAGACGTTACTGGGCCTGCTCGAGAAAATCGATGAACAACGGGAGGACAGTGACTGTGGACAGTGAATATTATTATCTGATGGGCTTGAGTGATAGCACAGCAGGTAGGGCATTTGCCTTGCACGCAGCCAACCCAGGTTCGATTACTCCATCCCTCTCGGAGAGCCTGGCAAGTTACCGAGAATATCTTGCCCACACAGCAAAGCCTGGCAAGCTCCCAGTGACGTATTCAATGTGCCAAAAACAGTAACAAGTCTCACAATGGAGACGTTACTGGTGCCCACTCGAGCAAATTATTGTCTGATGTGCTAGAGATTGAATCTCAGGACTCATACATGCAAAGCATGTGCTTTACCACTGGGCCACATCCTGGACACCCCCTCACTATGCCCCCTTTCCCCCCCAAATTCTCAACCAACTGGGTTGGTGGGTTAATGCAAAGGGTAGAGGCTGCAGTGCTGCTCAGGCCTGAGGTGTCAGAGATGGGGGGTGGGAGGCGCTTGTCAGTGCTCAAGGCCCTCCAGGGCTGCATTTTGATTTGGGGGAGTCTGCAGTGCCAAGGTGGGTGCTGGGATTCGAACTGGGGTCAACCACATTCTCTTTGGCCTTGAAAAAAAACACTTTTAATTTTTATTTTTTAAAAAATTGGGGTGAGGGCTTGGGGACCATACCTGGCAGTGCTCAGCGGCTATTCCTGGCTCTGTGCTCAGGAGAGATCTTTTGTGGGTTTCTGGGGATTTGAATCAGGGTTAGCCCCATGCAAGGCAAGAAGCTGTCCTGTTCTAGCTCTCTGGCCCCAAGGAACATTTTCAATTAATAAAATCTCTTGTTGCTCTGCCAACAACCTAATGAATCCCCTTTTTTTTAGGCTACAAGAAAACACTTATAAAATTCCCCCTGGAATGAGATATAGGGAGAGATTGTTCAAGTCTAAGGGGAAAAAAGTGAATAAGAAACAAGAAATACAAACATGAAACTGGAAGAAAGAAGGGATTTACTGGAATGATGGAGTCAGACTCGTTTTGTTATTAGAAAGCTTTTTGCGTGTGTTTTGGTGCAGAGAGGAAAACCTCTTACGAGTCTAAATTCCCCATACACCCACGAGACAAAGTTGCTTGAATTATAAAACAAAGGCAAACGCACTCTTCCCTACCACATGAGGCTTTTTCTCCCCAGGGAAGAAAGTCAGCTCCTTTCCTAGCATCTGTCTGACACCAGATGCTGAAACACCCCAAGAGACCAAGCTGGGAGAGACAGCCACAGGTGGGCAACTGGCACACGGATCCTGCACTGGGAGTGGACGAAGCCTGGTCTTACCTTGGCCTTTTCCAACTGGGCCTGGGCCTGGCGCTCGGCTTCTCTGCGTACTGCCTCGCGATCCTCCTCCAAAGAAACATCGGAATCCGACGGACGGCTGGTGTAGGAGTCTGCCGAACCCTGCAAAACAACATGTCCATTTTATTACCGACTTCCTCTCCACGCAGTGAGCCCCCCAAAAGTCTCGCTGACATGGCAGCTGTTTCCCCTCGATTGTGCCTCCAGTTCCTGAAAAGAAGTGGGAGATCATGGGGGGCAAACTCAGGGGGGCAAACGGCCCAGAAATCCAGAAACCCAAACCCAGGCTCAGGCTTGGCAGACCCGGTTGTTGGAATAGTTGTCCTGACCCTCTTACCTTCCCCTTCTAACCTTCCATCCCCATCGCTGTCCTTTGGAAGAGCCAGAACAAGTCCTTTTAGAGTGCAACCAGCTCCTTTGGTGCAGAGCTGGGCTGAAGGACAGACCTGGGTGTCAAGGATAGCTTCAAGAACAACGGACATGCTAATGCACAGCACTAATAGAAAGATGAGGCATGGAAAAATAATTTCAAAAAAAAAAAAAAACCCAAACTATAGAAGTCTGCTATAAACTTGAACTCTCCTAAATGTCACCTCCACGAGGTGACTCCTTTCAGCCCCCAAGCATCTCTTGGGCACCTTTTAATTCTACCTGATCATCTTTCACGGACACATCTTGAGAACCGCCCGCAGCAGCAGCCAGCCTCATTCAGCGTGTAAGCAACATGTTTGTAAATACCTTTCAAGAGACCTTTCAGAAACGCCGGAGACACAAGCGCCTTGGGAGTGGAGGCTGGGGGGTGGGGGGAGAGAATATCTCTCGGGGCAAATAAATCACAGCCTAAGAAAAGCAGCTGGGAAAGGCACCGGAGTCCTCCCCAGCAACCCTCCTCTCCTGCCATCAGCATCATCTCACCGAATCCACCGAGTCCCCCGCCAGCCGCGCTCTGCAGGCAGCACCCGCGGCGACCGCGAGCAAAGCATCCTCTCCCGCAAAGCCCAGCCCCGGCGCTTACACAGATGTCCGAATTCCTCAGCCTTCCTCCCTTGGCTCTTTTCAGAAGCCGGATCCAGGTGGCCTTCATGAGCCAGACGGCGCCTTTCTCGCCCGCAGCTGCAGCTCCGCCGGGCACCGGTCCTGCGCGCGCGCCGAGCCCAGGAGCACCCCAGCTCCGTTCCTATCCATGCTCCGGGCAAGCCCCTTTCTGCCTCCGGGGCTCGCGCTCCCGACCCCGGAGGACTCCAGTGCCCGGAGATGCCGTCTTTTCCCGGTTCCACGGGGTCGCACGTGGGGGAGGGGGCGTGGAGGAAAATAAAAACCTTCGGAAGCTTTTTTTTTTTTAAGAAGCAAGAGCACTTCAAGTGCACGCAAAAGCCAGCATCAACTAAACTTAAGGCATCTCCCAAGCCTTAATCTCCCATTTAACAATGGTCTTCCCGACTCTGAGACCCGCAAAGGAAATTGGCTGCAGGAGAACCTTAAAAAAATAAAATAAAACGCGGAGCCCTAAACCGAGGCAATGACATTTGCAAGTGCAAAGTTCAAGCCTTATCTCCGGAGATCTGGAGGGGGGGGGGGGAAGGGCGGAGGACGCGCTCAGCGATCTGGGCATGCTCCATAAGTAGCTTTTTTTTTTTTAACCCAGATGCTCACATCTCATTCTTAGTCTATATCATTGCCATTTTACATCTGGAAGTGTAAACAGCTGGAAAGGGCTCTTTGGCCCAAAGTAACAGGCACCTGGGACATGTTTGTTTCAGATGGGACATTCTCTTAAAGCATGCCATCTTTCTCTTTAATGATCCCTTTCCATGACTCTGATACAGAAAGTAGATATTATGCCATAAGACTCTACCTCCTTAAGAAATGCTATTATAGGGGTTGGAGCGGTAGCACAGCGGGTAAGGTGCTTGCCTTGCACGCAGCCCACCTGAGTTAGATTCCCAGCATCCCATATGGTCCCCTGAGCACCACCAGGGGTAATTCTTGAGTGCAGAGCCAGGAGTAACTCCTGTGCATCGCCAGGTATGACCCAAAAAGAAAAAAAAAGCCAAAAAAAGAAATGCTATTATATACAGTATTGGACAACAAAATTTTAAAAAAATTAAAAATCAAATAATACTCGTCGACCAGATAGCACTTTTGCTTGCTGGTGACTTCCCAAACATGGAGCTAGAGAGAGATTTGCCAGTTTAATTAGGCCATGGAAGTAATCACAGCTCTCAGCCGTGAGTTAACGGAGCTCAAAATGACTTAGAACTGCTTCTCCAACTGAGAAACTATCCTTGGAAAGAAAGTCCATGGAATATATCACAGTGTGAATTGTGATAACAGTAATTATGAAGACATTTCAAAGCTGGATTGATTTATGAGCTTAAGTCTCCTAAGACAGTTTAGTCCAAGCCCTTTTTATAAATAAGGTGCTTGAAGCTTGAGAAGATGCTTAGAATTTCCTGTGTTAACGGAATTTTAAACCTTATTGCAGAAGAAATACACACTTCTGGTTTTCTTGAACCTGTTAGCCTTGCGTTCCAAACTGTATTTATGTTTTAGTGTGGTGTTGGTGGGGAGGTTGGGGTGGAAGGGAGGGGTTGGCACTGGTCAACTGGGAAGTCACATAGTCACATGCAAATGGAAGGATTCTTCAGAAAACCTTCCTCAAGTTCCTCCTTCCCTCCCTTCCTTCTCAACTTTGGGCTAAGACCAGTCTTCATGACATACATGCAGAGCAGAAGTGTGAGTCGGGCATTAGCACAAAGGTTCTACATCAACTGCTGTATAGTGGCAGCATCATAAAGAAATGCATGAATCATTTGCACTGTTATGAAGTGAGTATATAATACACAGGCAGACAGTAGAAAATGCCTTACCATTTTTTATTCAAGAAAAACATCATGAGGGAGGGGAAGAATTTTCTACACAGATGCTAGGGGGTTCTTATTCTTTCTGGAGGGGTCCCTAGAATTGTGTTCTGGGTAGAACTGGACCTGGAAGCACCTTAGGAAGTACCTGAGGTCCCACTGTCAGGGGCCCATCAGCCTGCCAGAGGCTCAGGTAACACTTCTGTGAAGCTACAGAATTTCTGCCATTAAAAATCCCATAGTGAGGGACCAGAGAGAGAAGAATTTCTGCCATTAAAAATCCCATAGTGAGGGACCAGAGAGAGATACAGCAGGCAAGGTGCTTGCCTTGCACAAGTCCAATGTGGGTTCAATCCCTGAAACCACATATGGTCCCCCGAGTCTGTCAAGAGTGATACCTGAGCACAGATCTGGGAGTAAGCCCTGAGCACTGCTGGGTTGGCCCCAAACCAAAATAAAAATAAATTTTTAATTAAAAAAATTTTTTAAAGATTCTCACAGCGAGACCAATAATATACACAAATACATTGTGTACAATCTGGTTCCCTTTTAAACAAAATAAAATTTTGGAAAATTTATTTGCTAATAACCAGATATAATTTACATTATTGTCCTTTTGCAGGTTTAAATAATGAAACACTCTAAAACAGCCCCAGAGCTGGACTGGGGAGCTTGACAGCACTTCAGGCATGTGGAGACCCCAGAGCTCTCTCTCCAATACTGTTAGAATGGAAACTCAGAATATGCATTTTTGATTTTATAATTGGTTTCCAGAATGTACTTTAAAGAGATGATTTTGTGGATGGAATGTTTTTTAAAAATGCCCACTCTGTCTGCATTTGGGATGAACTTTCCTGTTCCCAGCTAAGAAAACACTGATTTTAGAAACTCCTGAACCAAACTAATAAGATTCCAACATGTGTGTGTGTGCTCCTGCATTGCTTGAGCATAAAGCCAAGTAATGATGAAGTTGCAGTGATGACCTATAAAAAAATAGGCTCTAGGAACTTTGGGCTTTGTCTAAAATTTCAGGTGCAGCCTAGCTGAATCTCAGTGTTCTGATCAGCCAATGTAATAAAGACCTCCTAGTTCCCTCACCATAGACTGTCTCCATGTGCTTGAGTAAGTGAACAGTGATTACAGCAATACCACAGGGTCCCCCAGCACCCCTCCCAGCAGCACCAGTTATAACTATGGTGTACTTGAGTATCAGTGGGGTTACGCCTTTGGTCCCCACAACTGCTGTGCATAAGCAATAGCAACACAACTGGGCCACAACATTCCACAATCCGGTCCCCAAAACAAAATAAGTCTGACAATAACCTTCTGAATCTCTGCAGGGATACATTACCCTTTAACAAATTCACAGCATGAGTTCTTACAAGTATGGCTTAAAGAAGGAACTGTATAATTTTTCCACTCTTTCTATCCTTAATAGTACATGTAATTTCAAAATACTGTTCAGTATAGAAGTTGCAGTATTCAGAAAAAAGACACACATATACACAGTGAGACAGTACAGGGTTTAAGGTACTTGTATGCATCCAACACTGGTTTGATCCTTGACATTAACTCTACAAGGGGTTACTCTGGCACACAGAGCCAGGTCTAGCCCTTGAGGCCAGTTGGATGTCACCCCAAAACTTCACTCCACCCCTCCAAGAAAAGAAACACACACACACACACACACTCGTTCTTCAATCCTGCTCCCCAAGATGGCCTCTATTCAAACAACAGGTGAGTCTCCAGACAGCCTGCATCTCTGGATGGAGTTTGGATAGATGGAGCTCTCTCAATAAGTGCCTAGCAATTCATCTCTTCCCTCTTGGGAGTATGAACTTCAGCAGTTAGAAGCCATAGAGTTAATTAAGCTTTTGCCTTTGGAACCATCTGGACTTTCTGGGTCATTCTGCCTCAAGTAGTCTTCAGCCAGGAACAGCTGGTAGCATTTCCATAAGCTCTAGAAAAGGTTCATTACAAGGTGCATCCTTCACCCCTCCGGTTCCTCCCCTGGGATCAGCCAGCCCTTTGCAGCCCTTGTCCTTGTTGATACAGGCGTGCTTAGCTGCTTGCGCTTCTTTTCTGTATCTACTCTTCTCATTCCTCCTTGTACAGTTCCAAATGCAAATTGCTCTGAACATTTATCCCTGGTCACCCACGATTTCTACTTTCATCCTAAGAACTCTCACTCCAAATAGGTGTTCCTGGCTTAGAGAAAAAATTAGTTTAATTGGATTCATT